CTGTGTGTTGCTGTGATGCGCCCCTTGGGGGTGGTTGTGAAGATGAAAGGCTGTGAGTGTTAAATCCTCGGCCTATGTTAGACATACGCTAAGTCTAGGAAGAGAAGTGAGGTGGGGACAGTTTCACTTCCTCTTCTGTGCTGCTTGAGAATTTTTCAACAGCGTCACGTAATGTATATCGAACATATTGTACCCGAGCCCTACGGCTGCCCTAACAGATGAGCACAGGCTGTTTAGGCGGCATGAGGGCACCAGGTGTCTGACCGGTGAGGTCACAGCAAACCTGGGTTTAGCAGCCTCGGTCCTTGGGTACTGGCTGGGAAAGGATTCAGAGCCAAGACCCAGACTGTAAGAGATCATTTATTTGGTAAATCACAGAGATAGAAGTAATTCCTAGAATAAATGGGCTTAGGCCCGGCTGGCATGGCTCAGTGGTTGAGCGTGGTTCATGAACCAGGAGGTCACAGCTTGATTCCTGGGCAGGGCTTAATCCCTAGTAGGGGGCGTGCAGGAGGCAGCTGATCAATGTTTCTCTCATCATTGATGTTTCTCTCTCCCCCTCTCCATTTCTCTCTGAAATCAATAAAAATATTTTTTTAAAAAGGAAGTAGGTTTAGGAAGCAAGTTACAGAGGTAAAGGAAGGGCCCTTGGAGCTTGGGAGTGAGGAGGTTAATGGTAACGCACCTGGGGGGAGGGGGGCGAGGAAGAGGAATAGGAAGGGGCGGGGAAAGGGGAAGGCGCAGGCGTGCTTCCCAGAGGGAGCGGCAGAGCACACGGGTCCTCCTCCGTTCTAAGGGGTTTTTTTTTTCTTTATTTTTTTGTTAATCCTCACCCGAGGACACTTTTTTCAATTGATTTTCTAGAGAGAATGGGAGGGGGAGACACAGAAATGATGTGAGAGAGACACATTGACTGGTTGCCTCCCACACGCCCCCCAACCCAGGGCCGGGATCAAGCCTGCAACCAAGGTACGTGCCCTTGACCGAAATGGAACCTGGGACCCTTCAGTCCGCAGGTCAACGCTCTAACCGCTGAGCAAACCGGGTAGGGCCCCCCTAGGGTTTAAGGGTGGCAGTTTTAGGGGAGATGCTAGAATATTCAGCAGCTTTCCAGGTGTGTCCTTTCAGGATCCTGGTCTCGCTGATTGCTTGGCTGCACCAGGGCAGGGGGGCATCATTCCAGGCACCTGGCCCTGACACCAGCCTCAGCGGAGGCTGGTTTTGGTGCTTATCTGAGGCCCAGATGTTATCTAGGGAGGAAAGGTCCGGGGCCCTGGTCTGAACCCCGTGACTAGTGTAGACTAGGGGAGGAACGTCCCCCTCGGGCAGCTCCCACCCTACAATTGATTGTCCGTTGCTAGGCACCTGGGGCTTTCCACCCCGTGACCTTCTGTACCCGCCCATCGTCCTTGCTCTGCTCAAGTCAGTCTTACTGCCTCCCACACAACTAGGTGGCTTCAAACACTGAAGGACCGGGTGGGGCAGGCCTTCGCTGGCCCCTAGCAAGGGGCCCTCAAGCATCAGTTTGATTGACCGGTGGCTGTGTAGTGACCCGGCCTCTCTCCCTGCAGCTGGAGCCAGAGGGACTGCTGGTGTGGGTCTTGGCAGGCGCCCTGGGCCTCAGCCTTGTCTGTTCCCTGGTCGCGGTCCCGCTGCAGTGCTTCCAGCTGAGCAAGATCTACGGCTTCTGCCTGCTTCTCTTCTACGTGAGCTTCCTCGTGGTGGCCCTGCTCACCGAATTTGGGGTGATCCACTTGAAAAGTGTGTGAGTGGAGCTGTGCGCCGGGTCCACCTGGTGGCCGGGAGGTGTCACTGCAGGCGGTGAGCTGGAAGATGGATGAGGATGGAGACCGAGGCGCCTTCGGTAGAGCCAGCGTGGGCATGCGTGGCGGGGAGTGCGGTGTGGGCTGGATCGCGGGGTCGCTCGCTTTGCTAGAGGTCCCCAGGCACTGCTGTGTGCAGGGAGGAAGCCAAGCCTCCTTTCTGGGGCTTTGGGGACTGGACCTGAGGGGGTGGACAGCCCCAGGCGGAAGGAAGGAGCCTTCCTTGAGTTATCGTGAGCCTTGAAGGTGGGGTGTAGGGGGTGACGGGGTGCCGTCCAGGCTGGTGTTGGAAGGATCGCGAAGTGTTCAGGGCTGGAGGCAGCTAAGAGGCCCAGCCCCACCCGTCGGTGTCCTCACCCCGTAGGTGTCCCTGCCGCCCACCTGCATTGTCTCAGGGCTCACATGCTGCCAAACCCAGGCTTGGGGACTCGGGACGGTGGGGCCCGCGGACAGGGCGCCTGGGGCTCCGGGCCATCGTGGGCCGAGTCCTAGAGCTGCACCGTCGGACAGAATGGGAATGGGACACATACCTAATCTTGAATTTTCTAGTCACCACGTTAATAAAGCCCAAAGAAGCAGGTGACATTTTCACAGTAATGTGTTTTATTGAACCTAAAGGCTCCAAACTGCCAGCCCACGGCTGCCACAGGGATGGTACAGCTCTAGCTAGACTCTACCTCCGGACCACCCACTGGCTGAAGGCAGACTCCTGTGTCCTGCTTGTTGGGTTTTCCGGCTGCAAGGCCGGAGGGGATTTGTGCCTTGTGCCTACCTCAGGGGGAGCCCTGGGCTGGGGTTCCAGTGCCCCCACATTCCGGGAGGACCAGGCGCCCCCTCCCACCCCCAGCACCTTCCGCCATCAGTGACCTGCCTCAATTAGCAACTGAAGCATTTGCCCCATTGCCTTATGCCAGCAGGAAAGGGATTCAGCTGTCTTGTCTTCCAGAGAAAAGTTATTAAATATTTCAAGTTCCAGCACTGAAGGTTGAAGGTTCTTGGGCCTGATGTATGGGCTTTGGGGCACATGTGGGGGTGGGGCTGGGGCTGAGCTGGGGTCGGGAAGGGGACCTCCCTGCATCCCCCACGATTGCAGAATGTCAATGTCAGGAGGCGGCAGCCACACTTACAAAGCAGAGGCGCTTTTATTAATATGCCAGAAGCCGGAGACACTGTGGGTTTTCTAGGTAACAAATCGCCAACGTATAAAACCTTACAGGGCCGTTCCTGCTGTCCGTACAAAATGATTGTCGCGTGGTGTGGAGTAAGG